ATTCTGAAACGACATCTTAAGTCTACTGATACAAAAGCCAGATTCCAACTCATTTTGCCATAGCTGCACTGGTTCTGCTGTGCTAACAAGAATTATACAGTATATCATTTTGTCACTTGAGTAAGTGATCCTGAACACTATTATGGAGCAATTCTGCCAAACAGCAAATGAGGTGGTTTTCTAATATTTATTACACCCTTACAAAATACTGTATTTGAATATCAAATCTATATAATTCTTCTGTTCTCCCCCTCAAAAATAAAACAAAAACCCAAGTTTCACTAACTCAAGGAAATTCTTTATTCTTACATAAATCTTTTAATGTTGTGCCCTAGTCATTTCCTCTTATCACACAGGTCACAGCAAACTCTACTGAGCTACTCTCAAGGTACCACCCACTTGAGACAAGCCAAGTTGAGGGAGGCCTGTACTCTAAGCATTACCATGAGCATCATAATTATTGTAAAAGATGAGGGAAAATTCAGTATCATCAAAAGGCAGGATCACGTGATATCAGTAGTAGTCTTGTGTTAAATTTCTGATGGTCACTGATTTATATAGCAAATTCCAGTATGTTGCACAATTCTCTGTGCTTCAGTTAAGCCCACTCTAAAATGGGTACAATTTCAATGATAGTATTCACTAGACCAGTGTGAACATTAGGGCTGTCAGGCATCTGGTTTTTGACTGGAAAGCCCAGGAAAAATGGGACCTTGCTGGATCATCTGTACTCCTGATCAGGTCACTTTGGGTACATCTATATTGCAAGTAAAGTGGAGTTAAGATACACAACTTCAGCTACATTAATTGTGTAGCTGAACTTGAAGTACCTTAACTTGGGTTTTGGTGCTGTCTACATAGCAGGAAGCTAAAGGAAGAACACACTTCCTCCAACTTTCCTTACTCCTCGAGAAATGAGGGTTACAGAAGTCAGAGTAAGAAGCTCAGTAACGGGCTTGCTGTATAGACACGCACTTTGTTCTTCTGAAATAACGTGAGTTATTTCAAAATAAGCGTGCAGCTTAGACATAGTCTTAAAGTCCACTCAGCAGCATAGCAAGGCTAAGGGAGGATCCCGGCCCGCCCTGACTCCAAGCAGCTCCCAGAAGTGGTCCGCATGTCCCTGAGGTTCCTATACAGAATCAGCCAGAGAAACTCGGTGAGCAAGCCCTGCCGAGAGCTGGCTCCACAGCTCATGTTGGCCAAGAATCATGGCCAATGGGAGTTACAGGGACAACATCTGCAGGCATGGACAGCATGCAGAGCTTCTGGGTCCCTCTACCTAGGAGCTGGAGCAGGCACTTGCTATTGCTTCCAGGAGCCATGCAAACCAGGGCAGGCAAGGAGCCTGCCTTAGCCTCTTTGCACCACCACGCGGGAGCCACCTGAGGTAAGTGCCACCCAGCTGGAGCCTGCTCCAGATAGGAATCCCCTCCTAAACTATAACTCCCTCCCACAACCTGCACCCCACTCCTTGCTGCATCTCAAATTCATCTCGGGCCTCACCCTGTCCTGTACTCCAAGCCTGAGACTGAGTGACAGAGGGGATTGAGAGGGGGCAGAGCCTCAGCACAGAGGTAAGTGTTCAGATTTGTGCCATTAGAAAGTAGGCAATTCTATTACTACTTTCCTAGTTCAAAGAAATGTGAGTTCTATTCTAATATGAGAAGTGCAATAGGAATATAACAGAACACATACTTACATTTAGGGTACGTCTAAACTACAGGGTTTTTGTCGACAGAGGCTCTGTCAACAGATACTGTCAACAAAGCTTCTGTCGACAAAGAGCATCTAGGCTACATCCAGTTGTCGACAAAGCAAGCCACTTTGTTGACGTGAGAACGTAGATGCAAAGGACAGTGTAGATGCAATAATGCCTTCTGTTGACAGAACTCTGTCGACAAAAGGCGTTATTCTTCGTAGAATGTGGTTTACCGTCGTTGACAAAACTGCCTAGTTCTGTCGACGTTATGTCGACAGAACTCAGAGGTAGTGTAGACACAGGTATAGTTTTGTCGACAAAACCCTGTAGTCTAGACACACCCTTAGTGTTCATTGTAGGGTCACAACTGCATAAGGCCCAAACATTGGACTTTAAATTTGCATGGGTTTTTTAGACTTACTTTTTTCCTCTTTCCCCCTATTGGCCATACATAGGAAGTATTTCAAGCAGACATTACTTCAAACCTATCCATGGAATCTGAGGGCAAAATACTAACCTCGTCTATATTATTCTGAATAGAAATCCCACCAACAGCAGTTGGTATTGCACGCTCAACATGGAAAGCAGAATTTAGCTCAAGGAATATTTCCACCCCATATGCTCACTGCTGACAATTTGGTATAAATAATTTGGTCACAACTTCAAAAATCATGCCCTATTTTCCGGCTGGAACAATGACAGGATGTTACTGCACGTGTGAGGGGTGCCTCTGTCCAATAAGATGTCATCAAACAGCATTTTAACATGTCAACCATTATTAGAGCCACACAAAAGGCCAAGATTGTGTCATCAGTTTGGGTACTAATTCCTATAGATATCAAAGGGAATTTCTACTTACCATAACACAGAGAGAGCGAGAGAGTGTGTACACACTAGTCAGATGCTTGAATATTAGCAGCAGCAGGAGTTATGTGATTCATTCATATCTTCTGTACTCTCTGCCTCTTTTAAAACATGGACTGGTTAATTGCCATAGCAATGTTCAATTTGTAAGATACAAAAACTAAGCCTATTAATGTTTCTAAGTCAAGTACTAGCCCCAATGATTTTTTATTTCCACGTGAGTCATGAACTCCTGGAAATCTGTATTCATAATAGAAATATGTAGCCTTGACAATAAACATAACAGCATGCAGTAGCTCAAGTGAAAAAAATAAAAACGTAATGCAGTCAGAAACCAGCTTTATTGTTACAACCAGTTTTAAAGTATTTACACAATATAAATCTATGAAAGATACATTCCTTCATTTAATCAGTGGTTGAAGGCCTTTATTATAACATAGCTCCAACAATGTTTAGTTCAAAAGAAACAGTTCACTCCTGTGATAGCTGATGAATAAACAGAATGCATGTTAACTCCATGACAAAAACATTTTTGAAGATTGGAGCCATTTTATTCACAGGACCATATGAATTAACAAACATAAAAATGAGAAAACACTGGAAAAAAATGTTGTGGAACAATGAAGTGACATTGGAAAGTATTCTTTATTATCCCATAACCTATCTATCTTCACAAGTGTTCCAGGGCTTGGGATAGCTGGCTAATACAAATTTGTGGACGAATAAATCTACTTCAAGTTATATTTGTTTAAGATACAGATACATTCTCAGTGCTGAGACTAATCAAAGCTCTTATGTACAACACTGCATTACACTACCACAAACTGTATTGGAGATACACAAATGAAAGAAGGGTCATTGTAACAACAACAACAACCACCCCCCCCCCCATACACACACACTCTTGACTGAAGATTTCACAGCTATTATGAGAAGTAAACATCAACATTGTAACTGATTAATTTTTTTGTTTTTATGTTATTTTGTGTAAATTTGATCATTGTGACTGGTTGGGTACACCATTTCCCCCATATGCCAGCTTCACATTATGTATTGTGTGCATTTCTCTCAGTTGTGTGAAAAAAATACACACACAAAGACAAATAATTTTTAAACGGATAGTGGCATTACATGAAACTAGAACTGTCACTTTGCAAACACTAACTTAATGCTCACAGCATCCATGGGAGACATATTGAAATGGAGAATTATTTACAAGCTGAGGACACTGAGGCAGGGAAGCTACACAGCTTTCAAAGGCCACAAAGGGAATTAGTATCAAGTTCTGAATTAGCTGGTATTCTTGGCTCTCAGTCCTGTGATGAGATTGTTTATCTGACACTACAGCACTGTTTCAAATCAACCTCTCTTGCTGCTGAATGAAAAAGCTATAGTTAAAGCATATGAAGCAAGAGTATCTTCAAGACTATTCAGCATTTTAAAGAATCAAACTACTGCATGCTATGCAAACTAGCCAATTGTGCAAACTAAAATACAGCACAATGCAGTTTTAGAAGATTCCCTCTGTTAGTTAACTAGGATATTGACTAACTACACAAAACATCTCATTGGTAAAGCTACCTGAAGTCAAAATAATGAAACTTCCAGAGTCTCGCCACTTCACTAAAGTTGCACCACACAACTGGCATGTGCAAACAATTTACACATTTTCTTTTCCATTCCAGGGATCTGCCTGTAGGCCACAAAGCTAATCATGTACGCTCTGGACACGTGCAATTTAACCACCTCAAAGAATCTCCCTCTTTCTAACTGTGCAGTTAGCAAATGGAACACCAACATGGCACAAAAAACAGTCAGCCATATCCTTCATAACCAAGTGTCAAATAGCATTAAATCCACAGTAGAAAGTGTATAAAACACACCAGTACTAGAATCTCTGGAAATATGACTTGATTGCTACTGTTCAACAACTGTAATTACATCCTGCATGGTGTGAGAGATGGCATAGGGTTAGGTGCTAATTTGACCAGTTTAGTACTTGTACATATTTTTAAGGGGAATTTTTTCAAAAGGCAACTAAAATCAAATCAATCAATCAAAATGCAAAACATTAAACCCCACTGAACAAGCCAGCCAACCCAAATTTACAGTCTAGTAGCAAATCCTCCTGATAGACATCAAAGCAAGCATCCCCAACAAAAGGAATTCTATTCCATCTTGGACAAAGGATGAAGGTTTTATCAGGAAATTTTTGGTCTAGTTCATGATTACGTCCATTTAAAAAATGTTTTGGTGGGAGGGAAATAAGGATATACTTTGAAGTCTCTTAATTGCCAACAGCCTTTTTTTAAAGAAATCCAGGCTTCCTCATGCTAAAATGAACTCCCTTTCCTTTATAATCTGATCCAATCCGTAAACTGCCTGAATATAAGGCAGTCAAAAACATAAGTCTAAACGTGATTCAAGTGGATTATTTTCCTCTTACCTCTCTTTATCCTGTATTTATTCCCCCACCCATTGACCTTTTGGCATTTAAAAGGCCTTTATTGTATACAGCAAGAGTTCAGAGAAGCTTGTGTACAATACTTAACACTTCACTTCTGAAGTTAATTCCCTCATCACCAGGGGATTTCCTAAATCAGAAACTGTGGTGCTAAGTCATTTTTTTAAATGACAGCAGCCATTAATTATCTGAATAAGGTTAAGCTTGATGGGAATAGTTCTGACTTCCAAATAATGAAAGGGTATTGTATCAAGAAAAAAAGAATTCAGTTAATTTGTTACAATAACTAAAGGGAACGAATATACCTATAGGTTGCCATAACTTCCCTTCAAAGTTCAAATTACTGCTTTTGTTCAATTCACATCAGTGAACTGGTTCATTTAATTTTACTGAAAGTCCAAGGAAAGTTGTTTTTACCTTTTGAGAGGAACATTTGTATTAGTCCTGTATTTTCTATATAGACTTGGAGAGGATTTGGTGGAAGAATGTACACATCAGTTTTCATAAATATGAGTGGGCTACTAGTTAGTTGTTACCTTAGCTACTGCAACATTCTGAAAATTGATAAGTAGGAGCGTATTTGGTTTTAGTATATCAAACACAGTTGCACAACAGTAATTAATTCCCCCGTTATTACACAGCTTATGTACACTGGACACTTCTAGCGTAGGAATTTTTCTGCGTATTCCCTTAAACTTCTGCCACCACTGGAACACCAATAAGTTTTAAAGAATGGTATTTAAGGGTACTTCCACATGCATGTTCAGCAGAAACTACTGACTGCCAATGATGCATATGGGGCATGACAATATTTAAGATGCCAGTATCAGGTTTAAGTTTCCCTATGTTCAAAGGCAATACGTTTACTTCTGATTAGCATTTTTAATTTGCCTTGTTACTAGAATAGCTCTTACCTCCACCTAAACATATTACTATTCATTTATCCCCCAAAGCAAAGGAACCTAAAAAACACATGGAAAGCAACCAATGGCAGCAAGGAGGCTATAATGGATATCTTATTAACATAAAACAAGTATGTTCCATTTAAAAGGTAATGTATGTGATTATCACACAAACGCAGACGCCTTGAATATGGTCAATTTAACAAAAAAAAAAGTCAGCACACAGTTGGATTTTTTCTTTACATCAAAATTTCTACAAAATAAGAGCAAGAGTACAATGTAATACACAAGTCCATAAATGCAAGATACGGTACAATTCACACTAATTTACAAATGGTTATTTACAGTGTTGTATATACATATCCAGTCAGACCCAGTTAATGTGAATCAGTTTGACAATTATTTTTTAAAATGCAGAAGAATGCTAGATGAATGAGTTTAAAAGTTACATGAGACTTGTAATTGTTTAAAAAGCTCTGATGCTTACGTGTCTTATTACATCAGACATGGATTAACCTGGTCTGATTGTAGAAAAGGGTCAGAAGAAAAAAATTCACACAACTCTGCTTTACAAAAGCAACCAGGCCACTATGGTCTACTGACGGATGCTGCTCATGCATGAATGCCATCACTAACAACCTTCTTTATATTTACAATATAGATTTAACTATACAGTAGGAGTTATTAATTTTGGCATTCAAGTTTTTAGCTTAACAGAAGGCAACAGAGTATCTTCTTGGCAACACAAAGCCAGGATGGATATTTCTAGAGCTCTGAGACATTTTCCTTTTAAAATAGCCTCAAGTTATTAAGAAAAAGGAAATGAATTTTAATAAATCTGGTGTTCTGTTAATTCACCCATGTTCAGACAGAAAAGTTTTTGCAGTTACAAGTTTGCACCCTGCAGTGCCATCCCAAGTTTCCACTGGAACATGTTTGCAGGACAGCCTCCATAGCAGAGGGAATTCTGAACAGTACTGGACAAAACTGATGAGGTGCGAGACCCCACGTGACTGGCATTTAATTTTGGGAAGAGTAACTATTTCCTAATTAGGTCTCTCACAACTTGATCTAGGAATTCAGAGTTTGTTTTATATTCTAGTTTTGAATAGAAACTATTGCTGCCATGTTTTCTAATATGGATTTCAATACATAATGTGAAAATGCACCCCTCTATTATACTGCAAAGTCTCTTATTATAATTCTGCGATAAAGTCTCACGCTTCTTAAAAATGTCTCAGGCAAAGATTACCGTGTTTAAAATATCTTTGCCCCAAAGTATTTGAGGCCTATGAAAGGAGTTCAGTGGAATTTAGCAACTCAACATGACTGAGGCTGAGGCCCAGGACCAATCACAAAAGATAAAATTTGCCTGCTCAAAGATTGTTACCTGCAATATAAACATGTTTGTTTATAAAGAACTACAGTACAACTTCAATCCTGAACAGTACCAACATCTTAAGGAAGAGCTACTACAGCAGAAAGACAATGGAACGTATAAACTGCCCAGGAGACACCTAGCTTTGATCTTGCCCTCTTGCAGAAGGAATGATCCCCAGAATTACTTTATTTTGACTTGAATGGTTAGCCAATTTCCAAGTTCTAGCAGGACTATATAAGAAATTGATTGTGGAATCAGGTTATTTCTTTGATGATAACCTGTATATTTGTACATTATTTGTAAAGTCCTGCTTTCTACAGTAGAAATCAAAGTAACAAGCCCCTTTCAGCTAGCATTCTTCTAAAAAATGCTCTCATTCAGCTGTTTGGGGGGAGGGGAGGAAAGAGGGGAGATGTCAAACTACCTCTTTGGGCCTTGTGGTCTCGGAGTATGGGACACCACTCATGAATAGCCAAAGAGTTTGAAAACAATGAGGGCTAATAAGAGCTGTACTGTACTTCAGAACAAACACACATCACTGTATACATTTTAACACAGTACTTGGAGTTAGAAAGGGGGGAGGGTCTGGTAAGTGTTCCAATTTTCCAGGTTAAAACCAAGTTTAAAAGCTAACTCTTATATTCTCTCTCCCAAATATCTGTATATGTGTTACCAATACTAGAAAAGAACTTTTCACTTTATCAGGAAAGTGGTTTTTTTTTTTAAATATTAAAATAAGTTTTTTCAGATCCAACACTGTTACACTGAGTAGTATCTTACTCTGTGAAGTCTTGCTGAAATTAAAAAGGTACATCTCACCAACCAAGCTATTGCTTAACATAAGTAAATGTGGCAGAGTAGTACTCCTAGCAAGGAGAGAATTTTGTCAGATACAAAAATTAAAAAGCTGTTCGCTGTCTGTCACTTTCATGAGCTCTAGCAACAACATCCTTGATAATGCTACAGAAGGAAATGCAATTTATTTAGACTAGGAACAGAACCTGACCAATTTAATAAACTTGTTTAGTAAGTGCTAAATAAGACTGGCTTTCAAGGTTTTGTTTCCTTCAAATGAAAAGTTTATCCATTTATATTAAAACTTTAGGAATGTGATTGCAAGAAACCCATGATTGGAACCACCAGTTGATGAATACCAACTAGCTTTAAGGAATAAAACTTACTTTTGTAAAATAGCAGAACACCATTCAAAATGGTGTAGAATGTGAAAGTTTTTCATTCAATTGCTTTAAGTATCCTGAAACAAGCTATGCTTTTGTAAAGCCAATCGGCATTTGACAATATGCTATCAAACGATTTTGAATAAATCCCACTGCTGAAACTGCAACAGAATCTCCATAAAATCTAAAATCCTAAGGTGAGTTTATGTTTGCACATATTGTATGTGCATACAAACAGACTTTGTACATGTGGGCACTTCAGTGACCAAAGTACAAAGTTTTTTTCAGAGTAATAATCAGAATTGACTGACTGCTCAACTCCACAGCAATTTTCAAGATTTAAAGCATCATCCCCAACCTCTCAACATACACAGTCAAAAGTAAACATTTTCTTTTCAATTCACATTTTGTACTTCAAATCATTCTTGGTATAATAGCGTCAACAAAACAAAACAAAAAAGAGGATGATCAAAGACCCACAGTTCAAAACCTCACATATTTGAAGGACATCCTTTGAACTTGAGACTTTGAGCTACCAAAATTTTTCCATCAGTATAAGCAAGATAGCCATAAATTGCAAAAGAATCTATAACTACTGAACCTACGTATTTAAAGACAAGAATCCATGCTTGAAAGATGAGGAAAGAAAGAAAAAGGTTTTAAAATCTATGTATTCTTTAACTGATGTAATACTGTTTTGATCCCAAGATCAAATAGTGATCTTTTAAAAAATGGAAAAATTTAGCAAACAAGAATTTCCTGTCAGATACTATACACGTTCCTAAATAATCAGGTGGCCAAAACAAAACAAAAACAAAACAAAAAAAAAACCTGCCCTTCAGATTTCTATTATGTAGTACTAGCAGAAGGAGAGTCAAAATGTTGATATTTAACCCTAATATCCCTACAGAGGTCTTGCTATAAAATGAAAAGTACAGTGATGGGGAAAACTGCTTTTTATCCTCATCTCCCTTCCCTCAAATAGTTGGTACCAGTGATTGGCATTTCAAGAGTAAATTACCACTATTCATGGGTTCTTTTCTGTGTGTACAGTTAAAAGATTAAGGTTCACTACTGACCATTTACAGTCTTTATATAAGTTAGTCACTTTCTTAAAGTAAGTTGTGAAAAAGCAAATCCTTTGGAATAGTTTCACTGCCTCCACTCAACCTTTACAGAAATTGATGAAAGCAGCAATGGAATCATGTTAAACTTATAATAAATAATTCACATACAACATATGTTAAATTACTTAAGTAAGGATTAAATTGCCATCTCTACCACTGTATAGATTTAGCAAGTTTCTAATCCATTTTATATCAACAGTAGGTATGCTCTTATTAGATTTCACACTACAGCTTGATTAGAGGCATCATTTGTAAAGCAAAACAACCAAGTGAACATTACAGAATTTAAACAAATGTTTAGCTTTTTCAGTATCTGTTCTCAGAAAGGGTTCTTAAGGATCACTTATCCACTTGAGGATAATTGAGGTTCCTCTTCATTACTCAGGAAGTTTTAATGCTGTGACCTCTGGCTTCATTTTGAAGTACTGGTTAAAACGAACAATTGCATACCTATTAAAAAAAAGAATTGAAACAAAATTAAAGAGCCGAGAATTCTTTAAGAGTCTGATTATGTGTATGGCAAGAGTCTTGAAATCATATTGTAAAATTTCACAACAGCAACATGCTTTTGTGCAGTATCATGTGATACTTTAGTTTATTGTGCCATCTACTGGTTACTATCTTTTACAATCTTTTGACTGATTTACTAGTCTAGTGAGTTTCAGGTGAACCAAGCATGATCTCAACATAGTATTTAATTAGCCAGGCACAATATGACTCAGTCTTAAGTATGAGTTACTTAAGTATGACCTAAACTAGCATTTCAGCTAAGGGCTGAACAAAATTCCAGAAAAATGTGCAGTCTTTTGGTAACAGGTTTTTCTCTTCATACTGCAAGGTGCATTCATTAGGAGTTTAAACATTTTTTCTTTTGATGAAGTCGCACATTAACATTAGCTAGTATCTCAAGAAAGGACACTAAAAAAAGAAAAATATTTAAAATTTTTTAGAATAATGTCCTTTGCTATTTGGAAGGATTTTTTTTTTTAAATAGGAATAGATCTGCTTCTTTGATCTGAAGTCCATTCTAGGGATGTTAACTAGCAGTTAGTAAGCTAATCGAGTGGTCGATGGAATTTCCATCGACTACTTGATTAGTTGATAAGGGGGTTTGCTGCGGTTCTGCTTTTTAAATGCATTAGGAGCCTGGTGGCTTTTACTAAGTTTAAAAGACAGAGTCACAGTGGGGTTAGCATCCAGGGCCAAGAGCTAACCACCCTGAGGCTCCGCAGTTTCCCCCCCATCACCTAATTGAGTAGTCAATGGAAATTGCATCAGCTACCTGATTAGCTGATTAAACGCAATTTAACATCTTTATTATAGATAGTCACTTACCCTAGAAAATCGAAATCAATGGTGGAATATTTGGCTTGAATCAGAGCCCACAATCCCCAAAAGAAATGAGAAGCCTAAGGAGAAAATAATTAAAAGATTATTAGCTTAATGTTCTATAAAGCAAGTATGTGTTAAAAAGAATGAACAAATTGGCGTGTCTGATGGACTATTCTACAATTACCCCCAACAAAGCCTAAAGTGTTATTTCAGAATTAAAGATTGTTATAAAATGTAATGTTTCTGAAACCAGATACCAACAAGTGATATAAATCTGAAAACTGTCAAATATGCCAAACACCCAAACATGAACATCTCTTTCTAGAAAAGTTCTTGTTCAACAGTGTTCACAAATCACCTATGCTTCTCTGATAAAATATTTGCAGCAATGTATACATACATATTTATTTTCAGATATTTAATATTTGGCACCAATATGCTTCACTTTTTAACGTGACCCTACACATTAATGATGTTTAGTCAACATTAAAGGAACTCTAATTTTATAGCATTTGTACAACATGTGTGGTCTACAGATAGGCCTTAATCTGTTTAGTAAACAAATTCAATCCTTCCCCTTAAGCATTAATATGAACAAAGTTTAGAGCTCATGAAACAATGCTACATATTCTGAAACAGACTTGCATAGTGCAAATCTAGCTTTACTAATTTAGTAAGTGGGACAGCTGAATATAATATAATTTCCACAGCTGGTACTAACAGCACTAAACAAATGAGCAGTAAGAACTGCAATATTTTCTAATACAGACTTGTCTAGTGGATCATCCTCTTGGAAAGCCAACCAAAATTCTTCACTGTAACCAGAAAACTGGAGAAGTCACTTATGATTATACATCTCACGTATCAGATATACATGGGCCAAAAAAGAGTACTTGGAACCATAAGGCCATATTAGCTGCCCAGAGTTTCATTCCTACTGGAATACCATGAATTATTGCTACAGTTTTAAAGACTTTATTTTAGCCTAAGTAAATGAAGGGCAAGAGGCACTGCTGCTATGACACATCATACTATGATCTATACACAGCATGAACAAGCCTTGACAGTACTTAGAATGGACTAGATACAATTTTAGAGATTTAAGTGGTGTTGGGAAGTCAGTCCCAAGCAATACTCTAGCACTATGATAGCAGACATAGCTATTCAGAGACAGATCTGCGGAAGCAGAGAAAGGATGAAAAAGCATCTAGGACTAGAGAGTGCAGCCTTCAGCTTTTTGCTATAAAACAAGACATGAGTGTTCTATGTAAAGTCATCAAACTACATTTGATCCAAGTTACAATTCTTTTTATTTTTCCAACACAGAATTTTAGTCTTTGCCAAATTTTATGTACTTTAAGGTCCAATTTACACACATTTAAGCTACAGACAACACCACACACACCACCAATCTCTTAAGGCAAAGTCACATTAACTTTCCTCAACTCAATAATTATAAATTTAGCGCTCTGGTGTGGAGAGACTTCAAAACTGATGATTTGTTGATCAGCACCAGGTGACTGATTTTAGACTATCAAGTTAAACCTCAATGAGATGCAGGCAAATTCTATGGAAGACACACACTTATTGCTCCAGATACGTTACATAGTTCAACACGCAATACTTTGGTTCTTAAAAATAATCTGGAGTAAGGCTTGACAAGGCTCATTTCACTATGTAGGCGATCAGTTCAAATCAGGATTCCTATTCAAGCCAGCAGGACTTTGGGGTGTGTTTAGAATGTATCATGCTAGCCCATCTTTGCTGGTCAACATGAAAAATCCCTCCATGACTTAGGTTTTTCCTTAAGATGGAGAAATCTCACAATCAAATTGACTCTGGCACTATTGTTTGGGGGAAGCTATATCCCAAGAACAACAGGTCCTTCTTCACATAAGATACTTAAACAGAGGAACGAAAGAAAAATATGCAGTCAACTTAAACATGGTACTTCTAGATCAGTGGTTCTCAAAGTGCAGTCCATGGGCCACTAGTGGTTTTCGGCAGGAGCTCACCTTCCTTCCTCCCCCATGCAGTGGGAAGCCTGCACAGCTGTGAGGCTGCAGCATTAGCTCCAGCTGGCAGGCAGGGAGGTGAAAGAGGCAAACTCCCCTCCACTGTGCGTGGGCCGTGGAGCTTACACATGAAGGAGCGCCGCCACCATGATAAGAGCGGTGCGTTCCTTGGTTGGTCCCATGGGGGCAGGCAGCAGGTTGGGCTGTGCAGAGTTAGGCAGGGCGGGGCAGGATCTCGTGGTGTGTGAGCAGGCAGTGCAAACCCCCACTTCCCTAGCAGCAGGTTGGGCTGCACCATGCCTAGCAGCAGTGAGAGGAGGCAATGCTGGGACTGAGGACCCTGTATATGCAGGAGAGGGCTTAGGACCCTGCATCCATGGGGGCTCGGTCTTGGGGGAGGGGCCAAGCAGCATCTCAGCCCCCAAGGACACGATGGACTGGACCTCAGTGGTACCCTATCCTCTGCAGAACTGGACCCCTCCCCCCCCCCGGGTCACCTACCTGACTACCCTGACCTTGCTGCACCACAGCCCAGCCTCCCTGCTCCTCCATTTCCCTGAACCACATTCCCTAAACACCTTGCCCCAGGCCTATTCCCTGCCACACTGCCCTTGCCATCGCCCTGAACCCCTTCAACCACTCTTCCCTCCAGCATTAACCCCAGGCACTCCCTATCCTCATCTCCCTGACCCAGGCCAGACACCCTACCTGCAGTCTGCTCCTGCACCCTCCCCCATGATCAGAGACTTACCACCACCCTGCTCCTGCATCCACAGTTGCTTCTTGCACCTTCCCTTACTCCTGCTCACTCCCCCTGGACAGAAACCCTACTCCCAGCCTGCTTCTTCACCCTACCTCCTACCCAGACCTTGCACCCTCACTCCCTCCTGCACCCCACCTCCCCCCCAGATCCTGCACCACATCCCTATCCCAATCACTGGTAGCCTCGTCCCACACACTGAACCCCTCATTTTTGTCCCTACCCCAGAGCCTAAAGGGGATCCATAAAATCCACTAACTCCAGAACCCCAGAAAAGTAAATCAGGCCTATGGGAAGCCCTGAACCTCAGTCCTCCTTGTCTCTTCCCTTCCCCTTGCCCTGTGGGGGTGAAGCACCAGAGAAATGAGGTGTCTTAATTGGGGGACACTTTAGTGAGCCTTGGGGGTTTTTGAAGGAGTTTGTTTGCTTCTCACTTATGGGGTCCCCAACTGAGTTTTCAGTGAGTCAGTGGCCTCTGACACAAAAAAGGTTTCCTACACCTACTATAAATCAAGAAAACATTGAAACCTTTTGTGGTGGACATAAAATAATATTTTAAATAAAATAAAGTTTAACTTTCTCATATTAGTTTATTAAAGTGCTTAATCTGTTTAATAATTTAAATTAAACCAGTCTCTCTAGCTGCAGCACTACCAAAATAGCTCAGACATAATTATGTAATTAATGGTAAGTTTCCATTCGCAACTTACATTGAGCCAGGTTGTCCACGGGCCAAAAAGTTTGAGAACCACTGTTCTAGATGATGGATTCTAGTTGACTTTACCTTGCCAGAAAGACCCTGTGCGAGGGAATAAAGCCACTAAAGCTATCCAGATAGTAAGGGCTTAGCAGTGAATCCATTTACTTCCCAAAGATCTACACATAGATTTAAACTAACACAAACAAATTGAAATTGAACAATATTCATTATGTAATGTTGTCAGTAATAGTAAGAAAAACTAACACTTAAAAAATATTGTATTAAAGATTTCCTGCAGGTATTGCATAATCTTAAGACTGTAAGTTTCTTGGTACAAATAGTTTTACTGGGCTATAAAGCGGTACACATACCTGGGTTGTTGCATACATATTAATAACAACATTGAGTAACTTACCAATGCAAACTGATTGACTTGCACATACAGTATTTCTACCTCCTTCTCAGTAACATCTGTACCGAAACCCTTATATTCCTTATAGGCCTCAAGGTAAGATCTCAGCCACTGATCTTGTAATTCTCTATCTGGATAAAGGCTGTAGTCTACCTCACTCACTCCTTCCAACAAAAGAAAAAACAAAACAAAAAAACATTTATTGATATTTGTTTGATTTCACAATAAGTGACATATACTTTTTAGAAACTTTGCAAATGTCTACTACAGATAACTAAGTATGAACAGATTCAGATACTCACATCAATGCATACCCTTCTACAAATAAAGACAAATAGGACACTCACATTATGAAAAATTTAGTGCCTTAATACTTACTCATTGCTAACATATGCATGTATTTGTGGGCTGGTATCATCTGAACATTAGCAAGTTACAACTGTATGGGGAAAGTCCCATGAAAATAAAGCTTCTGTCCTCAGAATGTTCCCAGGGAAATTCACTAGAACTTACAGCCCTTTTTGAAAGAAGAAATCTGTACGCAATCTGAATCCTTGTTACAAAACATGAGACATTCAGGTACACTTGTGTCATCAAAAACCAAGGTAATGTTTCAGACAGATGTGTATTTCTTACACAAAAGGAATCCTTTCAACCACAACCCTATTCCCTTTCCTTCCTACTATTTGGAGCTGTAAGCTTCATGTGTCTTCATGGTTTAACCTTGTCATCACCCTTGATCTAGTTCTAACCTTTTAAAAATCGTGGATTGGCTCCCTGTGAAGTTCCTCACCTTTTGCCAATCTCTGCTCCCCCAACAGATATAGGATTAAACATGGTCTTCTGCCATATTTAATCACTGGTGGTGGAAAGTGGGTCTCTGCATTTTCTACCATGTGTAGAGCCCTGCGGATGTGCAGATGTCTGCTTTATATCCACAGATGCAGGTATCTGTGGCTCATTTTTGCAGATACAATTATGTATCCGCTCAGGGCTCTAACCATTAAAAGAGATCTATCCCTCTGCAAGAAGAACACTGACCAAGATTAATTCTTAAATTTCTGAGAGACAAATTGTATAAAATGCTCTACAAAACAAATTGAACAAATAGGTTTCAAAGAGCAAGCTGTGCTGTCAATGAATTAAATTCTGAATGTGATTTACCATGACCAGTTTAGAACTACACAACTTGGAAAACACTGACAAAATAGATTAGGATTACTTAAAACTTTCTTCTGTACTGTATTTACAGTGCTGTACTATAATCATTATGGTGGCATACAGTGGCATTTCCACTCTAACCCTGTTGCCAAAGAAAATGGCATACAGAAGGTAAGTCAGCCACTGTTATTTAAACTTTCCAAGTCAAGAGTAAAGAACTAAACTTGACTAGATAAGCCGCTTGTTGAATGAGTATAGTTTTTCCTATCTTCCTAAACCTTAACTTCTCCCTTTCTCACACATCTGCACATTAGCCTTAACTCTTGTTCTATTCTATTCAATTTATCAAAAATCAAGTCAAAGCCAAAGTCTCAACTGCAAGAAGTTGTGCAAGGAATCACAAGATTGCTGTTTGGTGGTAGAAGTTATTATATATGAATTACACCATCATACCTGTACTG